ATGAGATTTAAAAATCCCTGTTTGAATGAGACTGTAAGTCCGGCCATGTTTTCGTGATATTTTAGTGTTTTGAGTTCTTGATCTTTAAAAGAAACATGGAATATAACAGTGAAGAAAACGGCTTGGCACATAATTTGAATAGTTTTAGCTTTTCCGTCGTAGCATTAGAGAATTAGACAAAATCTCAGCTTTAGGATCACCGTCCTTGTAGATTCAGTAGGTTATAATCATAGATCTGTCGTAGACCTAATTGTTCCTAGCCTTTATCATAAAGACGAAATCAGGTAGACTGCCTACATTATAGGCTCTGTTTTCAAAATCATGTAATTTCCTATAATATTGTTAGGGTATAAGTGATGTCACAGTGCAATGGGCGAAAATAAAAATACTTCTTTGCTTCTTCTAAGGTCTAAAATTATTTTATTTTGGAAAATGTCAGTGTGACTAGTCTATGCTTCGACTTTTCCTTCGTAAGCCGCTTCTAGAACTGTTCACAAGTTTTCACTTCGTTATCATGGAAACGAAAAAAGTTTTGAATATTACAACAATAATCCTGCCGGGTAAGTAACCTGGATTCTTGGCTCCACCATAAGATTAATATTTTCACAAAATACTGAGCAGTTGTCGATGCGCCAAAGTTTCTCATCTCATCTGTGGACCTTTTCTCTTTTTACCAAATACCTATCTACTGAAGTAAAAATATTCAAAGATGGTGCTTTTTTAAGTTCGCCTACTTAACTGTTCGCTGTTAATCCTTACAGATTTTCGAACGGGAAAGGAAATGATGACCCAGTCCCCTTCCGTAAGCAATAAACAGTGATGTTCAGAAGGACGGAATTCACCTTTACAAGCAAGCCTTTAACACAGTAAGCAGTCTATCGTTAGGCCTATCCTTGTATGTACTCTTCTTAGACAATGCAGTAAATCTCTACACGTTTGATATGCTCTTCCCACATGCGTGTATGAGTTCGGTCGTTTAAAATTTACACTGCCTAACCATTTTAAACTGGAACGCTCTTCTTTGTTGAATGTTTTTTGACATGAACTTTATTGCAGTGCAGCAGCTGAAATAACGTTTACGACTGCCCTAGATTGTTCGTTCTATAGAGAGGTAATACTAACTAGGTAAACGATACAAAAGAATACCGTTTTGTTATCAAAGCGAAGTATGCAATTTCTTTGTGAATGACCCTATCATAATCTGAGACAAATCAATTTTCTATTCAGTATTAGCTCAGATGAAACACCAATTTACCTATCAATAAATGGAACATCTGCTGCAACAAATTCCTGTCCGG